CCCCAGGGACACCCCTGGGACACCCCAGGGACACCCAGGGACACCCCAGGGACACTCGGGGACACCCCAAGGACACCCAGGGACACCCCAGGGACACCCCAGGACACCCCGGGGATACCCCAGGGACATCCCGGGGACACTCCCTGGGGATCTCAGGTTGGGAGTTTAGGGACAGGAGAAGGGCAGGCTTTGGCTGGTCCCACCTTGTCCCCAGGCCCTTCCTTTGGTTTGAATGTTTAAAGCTGTGATATTTACAGGTATCCAGACCCTTCCTTTGGTTAAAATGTTTAAAGTTGTGGCATTTACAGGTATCCAGGCCCTTCTTTTGGTTTGAATGTTTAAAGTTGTACCATTTACAGGTCCCCAGGCTGTTCCTTTGGTTTGAATGTTTAAAATTGTACCATTTACAGGTCCCCAGCCCCTTCCTTTGGTTAAAATGTTTAAAGTTGTGCCATTTACAGGTCCCCAGCCCCTTCCTTTGGTTAAAATGTTTAAAGTTGTGCCATTTACAGGTACCCAGGCTCTTCCTTTGGTTAAAATGTTTAAAGTTGTGCCATTTACAGGTCCCTAAACCCTTCCTTTAGTTATAATGTTTAAAGCTGTGGCAATTACAGGTCCCTAAACCCTTCCTTTGGTTTCAATGTTTAAAGCTGTCACGTAAAGCACAAAGTGCTGGGGATGACAGCCTCGCTGGGCAGCCTCTCCAAGTGGGGATGGACAGTTCCTCCCATCTCCAGCCCCAGAGCTGCTGGAAATGCAGAATTCACGTGTCCTGACGGGTGCATGCAAGAGCAGCCAGCCTGTGTGGGGAGGGGGGTAAGCTCTGTCCAGCCAGTGTTTACAGAAACCAAAATAACTGGGGCTGCTATCCCCGGCCACGATGGGTTCTTCAAACAAAGCAGCCCCAAACATAAATACATTGTCTGTTACAAAATGCATTTGGGCATATTTGACATGTTTCCCAATCAGGGCGGCTCTTTCATGTTGTGCCTGGAGCGCAGGGGGGGCTCAGCTCCTGCCCCCCTCACTGCTGGGGCTGCTGGGTCTGGCTGGCAAGCCTGGCTGAGCTCAGGATTAATTCTGCTTTTGGCTTCATCCCTGAAAATCCCCAACTGCTCCCAGGGAAGGCAGAGCTGGGGCAGCCAGGGCGGGCTCAGATGGGCAGGGCTGGCTCAGGGGGAGCTGTGCTCCTGTGGGACCCTGTTAAACCCTGCCAGGCCCTGTTAAACCCTTCCAGACCCAGTTAAACCCTGCCCAGCCCATGTTAAACCCTTCCAGACCCAGTTAAACCCTGCCCAGCCCATGTTAAACCCTTCCAGACCCAGTTAAACCCTGCCCAGCCCATGTTAAACCCTTCCAGCCCCTGTTAAACCCTACCCAGCCCCGTTAAACCCTGCCCAGCCCCTTTTAAACACTGCCAGGCCCTGTTAAACCCTTCCAGCCCCTGTTAAACCCTTCCAGACCCAGTTAAACCCTGCCCAGCCCATGTTAAACCCTTCCAGCCCCTGTTAAACCCTACCCAGCCCCGTTAAACCCTGCCCAGCCCCTTTTAAACACTGCCAGGCCCTGTTAAACCCTTCCAGCCCCTGTTAAACCCTACCCAGCCCCTGTTAAACCCTGCCAGCCCCTGTTAAACCCTGCCCAGCCCCTGTTAAACCCTTCCAGGCCCTGTTAAACCCTGCCAGGCCCTGTTAAACCCTACCCAGCCCCTGTTAAACCCTGCCAGCCCCTGTTAAACCCTACCCAGCCCTGTTAAACCCTGCCCAGCCCCTGTTAAACCCTTCCAGCCCCTGTTAAACCCTACCCAGCCCTGTTAAACCCTACCCAGCCCCTGTTAAACCCTTCCAGCCCCTGTTAAACCCTACCCAGCCCTTGTTAAACCCTACCCAGCCCTGTTAAACCCTGCCCAGCCCCTGTTAAACCCTTCCAGCCCCTGTTAAACCCTACCCAGCCCCTGTTAAACCCTGCCAGCCCCTGTTAAACCCTACCCAGCCCTGTTAAACCCTGCCCAGCCCCTGTTAAACCCTGCCAGCCCCGGTTAAACCCTGCCAGCCCCTGTTAAACCCTACCAGACCCTGTTAAACCCTGCCCAGCCCCTGTTAAACCCTACCCAGCCCCTGGCAAACCCTGCCCAGCCCTGTTAAACCCTGCCCAGCCCCTGTTAAACCCTGCCAGCCCCTGTTAAACCCTACCCAGGCCCTGTTAAACCCTACCCAACCCCTGTTAAACCCTGCCAGCACTGCCCAGGCACTGCCCAGGCACTGTCAGCACTGCCCACACTTCCTTCTGCCCAGGCCCAGCCGAGCCGTGCAGCAGCAGCAGCAGCAGCAGCAGAGTTAATTTTTACACCAGGCTCTGCAGGGAGAAGCTGCAGCTCACGGTGCCCAGCAGGAACCTGCAGAGCTGAACTGGAGCTGCTGGGAGCTGCCAGCCCCAGAGAGCCCCGGGGAGCTGCAGGGCCCAGCCTGGACACGCCTGGCCAGTCCTGCAGCCTCAGCAGCCTGGGAAATGTGCCAGGGAAGGGACTGGAGGGCACTGGAAACTCCCTGAAGGACCTGGAGCAGGGTGTGATCCTGGCAAACACACTTGTAATACAGGCATGGACGGGATGTTGGGCAGGAATTCCTCCTTGTGAGGGTGGGCAGCCTGGAATAAATTCCCAGAGCGGCTGTGGCTGCCCCTGGATCCCTGGCAGTGCCCAGGGCCAGGCTGGACACTGGGGCTGGAGCTGCTGGGACAGTGGGAGGTGTCCCTGCCAGGGCAGGGGTGGCACTGGGTGGGATTTAAGGTCCCTCCCTCCCAGCCCAGCCCAGCCTGGGGTTCTGCAGGATCCCTCCAAGGCTCCTGTAACCCTGGGCAGAGCCTGGCCCATCTTGAAGGATGCACATCTTGTTTGTCCTGGCAGCACAATTCTGGGCAGTTTCTGCTGTCTCTGGGCAACCAAACCCATCAGCTCTTCCTGCTGCTGCTGAAGATCAAAGAGATTTGCCTTTCGTGGTCCCAGCTCTGTCTCTGCCTTCACAGCTCTCCTGTGCTCTGCTCATTTTCAAACCCCAATTCTGCGTTGCCTTTTGTTGCCTTTTTTTTTATTTTTTTTTTTTAAACTGAGATCAAACTGATAAAGGGAAACTCAAACCCAGCAGTTCAGTGGGGGTTGGGCTGGCGACAAGGTGTTCCTCCATCACCTGGGAAATTTAATGTGGGATTTTGTGGAGTGCCCATCCCTGGAGGTGTCCAGGGAAAGCCTGGATGTGGCACTCAGTGCTCTGGGCTGGGGACAAGCTGGAGATTGGTCACTGGTTGCACTCAGTGGTCTGGGAGGGCTTTTCCAACCTCAGAATTCTGGGATTTGCCTGGCTGGAACTCCTGTGTCAGTTCAGAACCTGTGCAACAGGGATTTCCCATTCTGCTGGGCTGGGCTGGGCTGGGCTGGGCTGGGCTGGGCTGGGCTGCCCATCCCAGAGCTGCTGCCGTGTCAGCCTGCCTGCAGAGCTCAGAAAGTTCCTGTTAAAATCCCAAAATGCAAAAAAAAACCCCAGTAAAATAATAGGAATAACGGGATAAAAACACGGGAACAGCCTTGGCAGGGAGGGCTGCAGATGATTCACCTCTGCTGGGATACTGCAGAGCCTGGGCTGGATTGGGGTGCAGGTGCTGTGCTCCCCAGTGGATCCCTGGGCTGGATTGGGGTTGGGGTGCAGGAGCTGTGCTCCCCAGTGGATCCCTGGGCTGGTTTGGGGTTGGGGTACAGGAGCTGTGCTCCCCAATGGATCCCTGGGCTGGATTGGGGTTGGGGTGCAGGAGCTGTGCTCCCCAGTGGATCCCTGGGCTGGTTTGGGGTTGGGGTACAGGAGCTGTGCTCCCCAATGGATCCCTGGGCTGGAATTCCCAGCAGAGCAGCTCCCACAGTAGTTCCTGGATCAGTGGGCAGATAAGATCTGCTCTGGCCCCACCTCCAGCAGCTCCTGGGAACCCCAGCCAGGGTCACTCCGGCTTTTATTCTCACTGACCCAACACATTCAGCTTTGGGACACGCAGGAGTGGCTTTGGGACACGCAGGAGTGGCTTTGGGACACGCAGGAGTGGCTTGCAGGCAAACCATCATCTCCAGGTGGATCTTCTGGAGGTGCCCTGCAGCCCCCAGAGTGCCTCAGGCAGAGGAACAACACGGAGAGAGGAGGCTGAAAAGGCATTCTTACAGAAACACACCACCAACACAGCTGCCCGTGCCAGGAACCCGGGAATGGAAGCTCCTGGGTGCACTTCAGCTCCTTGGATCCTGTTCAGGAAGGGCAGAGCTCCCACTCCTCCTCTCCTGTAAGCAAACAGGAGTTCCCATCCCTCCCCATTTGGGTAAAGATCCCATCCCTTCCCATTTTGATGAAGTAGCTTCCTCATTTTACCCCAGCACCGAGGGACAGAAGTTCCCCTCCCAAACACTGTGAATATTCATGACAAAAGGCGTTGTTTTGTGTCAGCTGGAGTGATACCACCCCGATATTAAGAATCAGCTGCCCTGAATCTGCTGGAGGACCCTTCCAATGACACATTCCTGGTTTTCCCAGCGGGATCCACGGTGCTCAGAGACGCAGCACCCTGCTCTCCCTATAAAGGAGCGGATCACAGGGGTGGGTCCCTGCTCCTCCCAGAGCTGCTCTCCATCCCAGCCTGATCCCAGAGCATCCCGGAGCCAGGAATGTGCTGGCCAGGCCTGATGCAGCCAGCTGAGGTCATCCTGACATATTTCACAAGTGAGCGGCTCTGCTGAGCCCTTTCCCAAAGGAAAAGTACACAGAGGGAACAACAGGGATCCTCTGCACACCACAGGCTTTTTCCACCCCACGTCATTCCAACAAACCAGTCTGACTCCAGCAAGGCACTTTTTTAAGCAGAAGGAGCCTGTGTTTTCCCTCAAAGCACCACCCAGTAACTGAAGCGCTGATGAACCCGCAGTTCTTACACCCAGGAGTAGCTCAGCACAGAGCAGGTCCAGGAACTCAAACTAAAAAAGACATTTAATCCATTGGTTTTAGGCTGGGTCTTCAATTAAAGCTAGACCTTGGCTTTTAGACTGGACTCAGACATCACCCGGATAAAAACAGATTTACGTGGACAAGAATCAGACAATGCAGAACAAAAGTGAAGGCACAGATTCTTTGCTGAGGAGTTACTTTCATAAACAAATTAAATAGCGTAAAAGTAAAGGTTTTGTGCAAGAAATTCCTCACAGATGCAGGACTTCATTTGCCTGTAAGACCCCTGAATTCCACAGTACCTGGCACATGGAATATCAAGTATATTTCACTGTATTTGTATTTAACTTCACCCCGAAGGCCACAAAACAGGAGACACGAGAGGCTGTCCGCTCCAAAAGGGTGAAGAAAATGTGTTAAGACACAGCTTTTTAAAAAATAAGCCTCAGATGTGGCACAAATGGATTGGAACTGCTCATCCTCCTCAAGCTCCCTCCAGCTGCCACCTGGACGAGTGTTTATCAGGACACACCCGTGGCTCAGGACACTCGTGCTGCCTCAGTTCTTGGAGGGGATGGGTGTTCCATCATTGCTACAACCCCTGCTCAGTTTTAAGACACTGAAATCCAATCAAATTTCTTTTTTTTCTCCCTTATTCCTGTGGTTTCTCTCCCTATCTCCCCTTGCCCTTCCAGAAAAAAGGAAGGACTCTCTGAAGGAGACCAAGTTAGTATTAAACATTCTTAGGAGTGAGTCCCTTCAGTAATTCCATCTCTAGAATCTGCGTAAAGTAATTTTTTCCACCTTAAAGCAAGAGAGACCCCCTCAGGCTCTACTTTAGGCTCACAAGACCTCCTACTGTTCATCTCAGCCATGAGTGGCAGTGACCTTGGGACGTCCTCAACCCGTTCTGCAGCGACCATGAATCTCCTCATCCCGTTCTGCAGCCTAGCCTCAGTGGCAGTGACCGTGGAATGTCCTAATCCCTTCTGCAGCTCAGCCATGAGTGGCAGTGACCATGGAATGTTCTTATCTCGTTCTGCAGCTCAGCCACCAGTGGCAGTGACCGTGGAATGTCCTCATGCTGTTTGCAGTGACCGTGGAATGTCCTCATGCTGTTTGCAGTGACTGTGGAATGTCCTTGTCTCGTTCTGCAGGGACCATGGAGTGCCCTCATCCCAGCTCAGCCACCGTGACCATGGAGTGTCCTGTCCTGCGCTTCTGGCACCCTGCAGGGAGAATTTGGCGCTCTGGGTCCAAGCAGTGACACCATGAGGGGTTGCCATCATGGAGCAGATTCCCAGCAGGGTTTCCAGTTGCCCACAGCTCCTGGAGCTGTGGGATGTCCCCTCAGGCCATGGTGGCTGTCCCCTCAGAGGCCATTGCGGCTGTCCCCTCAGGCCATGATGGATGTCCCCTCAGGCCATGGTGGATGTCCCCTCAGGCCATGGCGGCTGTCCCCTCATGCCATGGTGGATGTCCCCTCAGGCCATGGCGGCTGTCCCCTCAGGCCATGGTGGATATCCCCTCAAGGACCATGGTGGATGTCCCCTCAGGCCATGGTGGCTGTCCCCTCAGGCCATGGTGGATATCCCCTCAAGGACCATGGTGGATATCCCCTCAGAGGCCATGGTGGATATCCCCTCAGAGGCCATGGCGGCTGTCCCCTCAGGCCATGGCGGTGCTGTCCCCTCAGGCCATGGCGGCTGTCCCCTCAGGCCATGGCAGCTGTCCCCTCAGAGGCCATGGTGGCTGTCCCCTCAGGCCGTGGTGGATGTTCCCCCAGGCCATGGCGGCTGTCCCCTCAGGCCATGGCGGCTGTCCCCTCAGGCCATGGTGGCTGTCCCCTCAGAGGCCATTGCGGATGTCCCCTCAGGCCATGGTGGATGTCCCTTCAGGCCATGGCGGCTCTCCCCTCAGGCGGCAGTGATGTCCCCTCAGGCCATGGCGGCTGTCCCCCCAGGCCATGGCGGTGCTGTCCCCTCAGGCCGCAGTGATGATCCCCCAGGCCATGGCGGTGCTGTCCCCTCAGGCCATGGTAGCTGTCCCCTCAGGCCATGGCGGCTGTCCCCTCAGGCCATGGTGGATATCCCCTCAGAGGCCATGGCGGCTGTCCCTTCAGAGGCCATGGTGGATGTCCCCTCAGGCCATGGTAGATGTCCCCTCAGGCCATGGCGGATATCCCCTCAGGCGGCGGTGATGTCCCCTCAGGCCATGGTGGATATCGCCTCAGGCCGCAGTGATGTCCCCTCAGGCCATGGTGGATATCCCCTCAGGCCATGTTGGATGTCCCCTCAGCCCATGGCGGCTGTCCCCCCAGCCCATGGCGGCTGTCCCCCAGGCCATGGTGGCTGTCCCCTCAGGCCGCAGTGATGTCCCCCCAGGCCATGGCAGCTGTCCCCTCAGACCGCAATGATGTCCCCCAGGCCATGGCGGTGCTGTCCCCTCAGACCGCGGTGCCGGTGTGGCGGATCTCCTGGGCCAGGCTGAGGGCGCGGTCCCTGTGGCCGCAGTCGGCGCTGGGGCAGCGGGACACGGCGCCGGCGGCCTGGCGGCACTGGTGCAGCAGCATGCGGCGCAGCAGCAGGTACACCCAGGGGTCCAGGATCTGGTTGAGCGAGGCCAGGCGCACGGCCGTCAGCGGCAGGGTGCACTCCCTGCGCGGCGCCCAGCCCTGCCCGCCCCGGCAGCGCCCGCCCGCCGGCTCCCACGCCATCCTCAGCATGGTCACCTGCGGGGACACGGACAGCGACACGGTCAGGGGCTGCTGGGGGTCACCACGGCTCCCTGCCCCTGGAACTGGATGGGTTTAGGGTCCCTCCCAACCCCAGCCTGTATGGGATTCTGTGGGACAGCTCCTGAACACCTCATTTTCCTGAACGGGGATGGTGGAAGGGGTCCCTGCCCATGGAACTGGATGGGTTTAGGGTCCCTCCAAACCCCTGCCTCTATGGGATTCTGTGGGACAGCTCCTGAACACTTTGTTTTCCTGAATGGGGATGGTGGAAGGGGTCCCTGTCCCTGGAACTGGATAGGTTTAGGGTCCCTCCCAACCCCAGCCTGTATGGGATTCTGTGGGACAGCTCCTCAACACCTTGTTTTCCTGAACACCTCGTTTTCCTCAACACTTCATTTTCCTGAACACCTCATTTTGCTCAACAGATCCTTTTTCTGCTCTCAGATCTTTCCTGCACAGACCCTTTTCCTGCTCTCAGATCTTTCCTGCACAGACCTTTACTCTTCTCTCAGACCTCTCCTGCACAGATCCTTTTCCTGCTTTCAGATCTTTCTTGGACAGACCTTATTTCTTCTCTCAGATCTTTCTTGGACAGACCCTTTTCCTGCTCTCAGATATTTCCTGCACAGACCCTTTTCCTGCTCTCAGATCTTTCTTGGACAGACCCTTTTCCTGCTCTCAGATATTTCCTGGACAGATCCCTTTCCTGCTCTCAGATATTTCCTGCACCGACCCTTTTCCTGCTCTCAGATCTTTCCTGCACAGACCTTTACTCTTCTCTCAGATCTTTCTTGGACAGATCCTTTTCCTGCTCTCAGATCTTTTCTGCACAGACCCCGGGGCACCCCCAGCCCTCCCAGCCCCAGATAAACTGGCAGTGTGGCCCAGAAGGGCTGGGAACAGCCCCAGGCCTGCCGGGAATCGCTGCCAGTCCTGCCTTTGGACCCAGCCAGCCCGACCTGCAATCCCACGGGAAGCTCCTCAGAGCTGTGCCACCCCAAAGGTCCCAGCTGGGCTGCTGCTGTCCCCCCAGGCCGGGACAGCCGGAGCCACAGAGGCTCCAGGGAGCGTTTTTCCACTCAGAGGGATATTCTGGGTGCCAGCTCAATTAACCATTGTTGACCTTGGAAAGCCTGGGCTGAGGCTGGAGGGCAGGGCAGCATGGACAGCACAGGAGAATTGTATTTGTTGCTTTAAACAGAAGCAGCTGAGGATTCCACCCGCGACATTTCATTGACAGAAGTGGCCATGGATGGAGCCTTGGGAAAACGGGGATGCAGAGCTTTGTAAAAACATGGATACAGACCCAGAGCACATCAGGAGCCACTAGAGCACCACGATTCCAGAACCTGACCACTTCCCTGGCTCTTCACACACCGACCCTGTCCAGACTCTGCCATCTCTTTTTCAGATGGAGCTCCAAAACCACCAGGCTAATAAAAATACATTTCCCAGGCACAAAACTGCTGCTCATTTGTGGTTTTATTACGTAAGAGCCCTTTATGGGAGTAGTTGTTTGGCCAACAGCTGCTCTACTGGAAATTTTGTTTGTTTGATATCATTAGAGATTGTTTATCATGACCTGTATTGGTCTTCTAAATGGATTAAAAGCCTGCACAAGGCAGAGGAACAACATCAGGTGGAATAAAGTCAACATCATTCATGCCATTAAAAATCTGGCTCAAAATGCTGATGATTGGATTTATTCAACAAGAGCAGTTAAAACTTTACAGTTATCATGAGTGTGGTTTTATACGTCTGTAATTTCTGTCTGCCAGGAGGGATAAGGAGCAGAAGTATTTTAACAGGGAGAGCAGCAGAACTTCTGGGCATTTTGGCTTTAAATAACTTGGGAACAACTCTGGGAAGGAATAGCCTGGGACTCTGAAATTGCTGTAATTCCAGGTTGTGCTGCAGCGGTGTTTCTGTGAAATCAAGGAACAGCTTGCTCCGTTTCACCTCGGCTCATTTCTCTGCTTCCTGCAGCTCAGGGGCTATCCCCAATCCCAGATTGGGACCTCAAATCCCACCCAGTGCCAGCCCTGCCCTGGCAGGGACACCTCCCCCTGCCCCGGGCTGTGTCCAGCCGGGCCTTGGGCACTGCCAGGGCTCCAGCTGTGCCAGGAATTCCTCCCCAGTATCCCATCCAACTCTGCCCTCTGGGAAGCCATTCCCTGTGGCCTGTCAGTACCTGCTCCAAAACAAACAGAGGTCAGTGTGAACTGGAACCAGCAACACCACACTGGCCTGGGCTGTTCTGTGTGGCTCCAACAAGCTCCTGTGTGCTCGGAAAAAGGAAATAATTCCTGCACTGCTGTCTGCCCTCCTCCCTCCTTGCCAAGCCAGCCCAGAGCCAGACGTGCAGAACACTCCAAGGAGCCCTTCAGAGCGCAGCCACAATGTCAGAGCTTTCCCTCTGCTGATAAATCACATTTGATTTTGTTGTCTACATCAACAGATCAGCTCTAAAAATACCGTGTGTGGTGAGGGTGTTGTTTACCTCACAGCAGCAGCTGCCAGGATCCATTAGTTCTCAGTTACAAAACTCAGATGTCTTTAAAAAAACCACAGAAACAAAAAAAACTCCTCTATAAAGCACCAGATTTCCATTTCAGCTCAGTTTCTTACAACTGCTGAGTGCTGCTAGGGGTTAAGTGATTGGTACGAGCTGGCTTTCACTGAAAAGGCATTTGCATTCTCCGTGGTCACTTCTCCAAAAATCTGGTCTCTAATTCCTGACCTGCACTTCAGAGGTGCACAGAACAAACTGGGGTGAGTGTAAATGGAGGTTTATGTATAAAAATGGAGGTGCTTTTATAAAAAAAACCCTGCAGCCATGAGTCTGGATTGTGAGAACTCCACAGAAGAAGTTCCACACCTCCAAGTGCTGCTGGCGCCGAGGGAAGGGAAGTGCTGCTGAATTCCCTTGTGCCCGTGGGAATTCCCTGTGCTGAATTCACTGCTGCCTCTGGAACCACAGAAATGCCCAGGGCACAAACCACCAAGCGGAATCCCTGCTCCTCACCGATTTACCTGGTTATGAGGGAGGAGGAAATGCTTCCCCCATCTCAGGGCTCTCCTCTCATGCTGCAAGGCTGGTGGAACGCTCAGGGGTGACAGGACAAGAGGAGATCTCCTTCTCCAGCCACAAAGAACCTTCCACACAACCTCAGCATGTCCTCAACCAGCTTCAGCCCACCCTGCTCAGAGAGCCCAAGAAGCAATTCTCCTAAAATCCTAGTAGTCCTTGCTAGAATAACCCAACCTTTTGGGATTCCAGACCCGCGGGTGTGCCCTGGTCCCACACAGCAAAGATGTGGATTCTGCCTCCCCCACTCCTGCACCGGGAGGAGGGGTTCTTAAGGAAGGAATAATAAAATAGTGAAAGCAATGCACAGATCCTTAAGGAGCCGGCTGCCCAAGCCCGGAAGGCTGCTGTAAATCAAACACAGCGGGCTGCCGTTTTCTCAGAAAACACTGTTTGGAGTTTTGCTGCAAGGTGGGAGCAAAGAAAAACCCCTAAACCCCACCTGGCTGCAGCGTCCCGCTCCCAGAACCTCTCCTCACATCCCCCTTTCTCCTCTGCACAGGAACCTTTAACCTCCGGCTCCCGCAGCTGGTTTCCTGCACTCGGCTCTCCTCTGGGACCTCTCCCAGCCCATCTCCTGCCCCCGTCCCACCCTCTGCACCCCGGCTGTGTCCCTGTCCCTGTCCGTGTCCCTGTCCCCGTCCCCTCCCGAGGGGAGTCCCTGGATGTCCCCAGGAGCAGTGACCCCGCAGCCTCCCCCGTCCCACTCTGCACCCCCGGCTGTGTCCCTGTCCCTGTCCGTGTCCCCGTCCCTGTCCCTGTCCCCTCCCTGTCCCCCACCCTCCGGGATGTCCCCGGAGCGGTGGCCCCGCCGCCTCCCCGTCCCACTCCCTACACTCCCGGCTGTGTCTGTGTCCCTGTCCCTGTCCCTGTCCCCGTCCCCTCCCGAGGGGTGTCCATGAATGTCCCAGGACCAGTGGCCCCCAGCCTCCCCCGTCCTGCTCCCTGCAGCCCCCGGCTGTGTCCGTGTCCCTGTCCGTGTCCCTGTCCCTGTCCGTGTCCCTGTCACCGTCCCTGTCCCGTCCCCTGGACGTCCAGGGCTGTCCCTGGATGTCCCCGGAGCGGTGGCCCCGCCGCCTCCCCGTCCCACTCTGCACCCCCGGCTGTGTCCCTGTCCCTGTCCCTGTCCCCGTCCCTGTCCCTGTCCCGTCCCCTCCCGAGGGCTGTCCCTGGCTGTCCCCGGAGCTCTGCCCCGCCGCCTCCCCTCTGGCCGCTGCCCGGAGCATGGGCAGCCCGGGGTGTCCGGCCGGCCGCACCTACCAGCAGCGGGGCCCAGCAGGCGGCCAGCACGCACATGATGCCCAGCAGCTGCAGCAGCGTCTCGGTGGCGATGCGGCCCCAGCGGGAGCCGGGCCCGGCGCGGCAGCGGGCCAGCAGCGCCCCGATGGTGGCCAGGTTGCCGGCGGCGGTGACCGCCAGGGACAGCAGCCCCAGCGCGGCGAAGGCGGCGGCGAAGGCGCTGCCGCCGGCCGCGCTGATGAAGCACCAGGTGCCGGGCCACTGCAGCGCGTAGCGGCCCAGCCCCGCCAGCGGCAGCAGCGCGAAGGCCGCGGCGGCCGCCCAGATGGCCGCCAGGCCGCGCTCGGTGGCCCGCGGGCTGATGTGGCTCGCGTACCAGTGCGGGGCGCGGATGGCCAGAGCCCGCTCCACCGCCATGGCGCTGGCGATCAGCAGCGGGCACAGCCCGAACAGCGTCATGCTGAAGCCGAAGAAGTCGCAGAGGCGGCCCGAGGGGTCCATGGCCGCCCAGGGCCGGCCCGACAGGTACACGGAGATGACGACGGGGCTGGTGAGCAGCTGGCCCAGCATGTCGGTGAGCGCCAGGGAGCCGATGCACAGCAGGAAGGAGCGCTTCCTGCGGCTGCCCTTGGCGCGGTAGCTGCGGGACACGAGCAGCATGGCCAGGGCGTTGCCCGCCACGCCCGTCAGCATCATGGTCAGCGGGATGGCCACGGACACGGCGCTGCCGCGCTCCGCCGCCCGGCCCGTGCCGTTCCCCCGCGGGCCCGGCCCGGCCGCGCTGCCGTTGGGCGCCCGCTGCTGCCAGGGGCTCATCCCGGAGCGGGCAGCTCCCGCATGGAGCGGCACCGAGCGGCACAGAGCGGCACAGACCAGGCACGGAGCCGCCGGGTCCCGCACGGAGCCGGCACCGAGGCGGCGGCAGCGCGGCCGCTTTATATGAAGGACGGGCGGGACCGCCCCGGGGCCGAGAGAGGCGGAGCGGGAGCGGGCAGAGCGAGGGAATGGAGCGGGGACCGGGCTGGGGAGGGAACGGCGGAGCTGAGAAGGGTCTGGAGCCCCAGGAGAGGCTGGGGGAGCCGGGAAAGGGCCGGGGGATCCCTGAGGGAGCCGGGAAGGGGCCGGAGGATCCCTGAGGGAGCTGAGGGGGCCGGAGGATCCCTGAGGGAGCCGGGAAGGGTCTGGAGAATCCCTGAGGGAGCTGAGGGGGCTCAGCCTGGAGCAAAGGAGGCTCAGGGCCCTTCTGGCTCTGCAAAGCTCCTGCCAGGTTTGGGATCTGCTCCAGGAACAGGGACAGGGGGAGAGCCAGCAGTGTGCCCTGGTGGCCAAGAAGGCCAGTGGCTCCTGACCTGGATCAGGAATTGTGTGACCAGCAGGAGCAGGGAGCTCATTCTTTCCCTGTACTCGGCACTGGTGAGACTGCGCTTTGAGTGCTGTGTCCAGTTCTAGCCCCTCGGTTTGGGAAGGACGTTGAGATGCTTGAACACATCCAGAGGAGGCAACGAACATTTGAAGGAGCTGGGGGTGCTCAGCCTGGGTTGTTCAGCCTGTTCAGCCCTGTGAGGAGCATTTGAAGGAGCTGGGGTTGTTCAGCTGGAGAAGAGGAGGCTCAGAGGTGACCTCATTGCTCTCCACAACTCCCTAAGGGAGGCTGCAGACAGGTGGGGTCGGTCTCTGCCCCCGGGCAGCACTGACAGAACCAGAGGACACGGCCTCAGCTATGGCAGGGGAGGTACAGGTTGGAGATTAGGAAAAATTTTTCACCGAAAGAATAATAAAGTGCTGGAATTGTCTTCCCAGGGAGGTGGTGGAATCACCATCTCTGGATGTGTTTAAAGTCTGGCCATGGCACTCGGGGCTGTACTCTAGTGAGGTGTCAGGGCATGGGCTGGGCTTGATGCTCTGAGAGGTCCCTTCCAGCCTCATCATTCTGTGATTCTGTGAGGGAGCAGCCCCAGGCTGGGCCAGGGGGTTTGGGTTGGATTTTGGGATGGGTTCTTCCCTCAGAGGGTGCTGGCACTGCCCAGATCCCCAGGGAATGGGCACAGTGGCTGCCAGAGCTCTGGGAGAGTTATTCCATGAGTCTGTAGGGACACCTGGGAGTGTTGTAAAAGCTCATTTGCTGCTGAAATTAAAAATAATTTTTAAGACTTAAAGGACTGCAAATATGTGAACAGATAGGATCCATGGACCAGGTGAGCTGATGAGGATCAGGGTGGGTGCAGGTGACAGGAATCTGAGTGTCCCCAAGACAAAGCACGCGAGCACAGCTGACTGACAGGTTTTATTTACACTTGTCTACAGCATCATTTTGCCTTACACGTTCTCTAAGCCAAATGGACCATCCTCCTCCTCCTCTGCCTGTGGCCTATCAGTTGCTAAATTTAAAACCTCCCATCTGTTAAGTACAGCAACAATTGGAATACAAAGCACAAGAAAACCCAAGGCTAACAACAGAGCGTCTACTTGATCTGGTTTTACAGTTTAGTTGAAGTCAGAGGCACAGTTACAGACTAACCTGCTCTTGTGCAACCTACACACATTTAGCATGGAAATTAGAGAGAAAAGAAAGCATTAAAGAAGAAACTGCATTTTTTCTGCAAAGAGATTTATCAAAATACCTCTACACCAAAAACATTTTGCTTCTAGACCAGTCCGTAAGACATGGCTCAAAAAAAAAAAAGAAAAAAAAAAAGAGAAAAAAAGCCAAATGGAGTTTTTCAATTTTGCTCCGTTTGTTTCCGTGCAGTTTATCAAAACAAGCAGCAAATCTGGCAGTTTTATTACTGAAATAAATGAAGGTATATTGCTCTTTGCTTGCTTAAAAAGAAGAGTTTTCCTTACCATACTTACCTTGTGATGGCACTGAAGAAACTTAAACCTTTCTTAACCAAACGGAGCTCATGAGAGACCAAGTTTTATATTCAAATGGATTCCATAAAGCATTTTAAGCCATAAATTATGTTGAGGGGAAAAAGAATGCTCGATGAAGAAGACGTTGAAGATGCCAGGACCTTCTACACAGTTTATTCATTCTCATTTTTAAAGAAAAATAAAATTAAGATACCTTGCAAATTTTAGTCAGCCCCAAAGGAAATTTTACAGGCGGCCTGCGGAAGCTTGCCTTGATTCCAAGGAGCAGCTCCACACTGCTCCGGCCCAAGCAGATCCCACCTGCTGCGTGTGGCAGGAGGGACCCGGAGTCCGGGCTCTGGGAAGCACCACAGCCACAGCACTGTCCTCCCTCGCCAGGAACGAAGGTAATTCCCTCTGCAATCATGATGGGCTGGGGCTTTGAGCTGCTAGAGAGGGGTGTCCATCTGCTCTGGCACTGCTACGTGGCAAAACAAACACTGCTCAGCCCACGGCCCCACTGCTGGCCCTGGGTGCCCCCAGCCCTGCCCTGCTGTGGTCCCATCCTGCTCTGGAAAACTCACGTGCCAGGACATTCCCAACCTGCTCCTCCAGCTGAGGGAGCCAGGAGTGGGGGAACTGATCTGGGAAAATAATAACCCCCCCTCCACACCACAGAACTTCCCCCTGTGCCGGGGAGTTTATGGCTTAAAATGCTACTGCGGGTTTGGGTGATGGATGAACAAAGCTGCAGTTTGCCAGAAAGCCAGGACAGACATGCACCTCTACTAGCAGATTGAGCACTTCTGACCAAGTAAGACACCAACTTCTTAAAAATGTCTCATGCACTGACTGGAATTTTGGTGGGTTTTTGTAAGTGTGAGCTTTTACACATTATTTCTTTTTAGAACTCGTACGGGAACCAGAATGGGAGGATCCGGAGGAAGATCTGCGGCGTCTGCAAGATACAAATGGAGAAAGCATGCACAGAAATGAGCTCAGATTCATCCTGGCCCCACTTTGAGCAGCATCCTACCATAGCTGGAAGCCAAGTATATCTCACGGGGGCCTTACAAGAATATACAAGTAACTTTAAGCCACTAATTTAACACTAAAAGTCTAAGTTTAACAGTGAGAGTAGAATAGAGTTTCTATTTCAATGCACTATTTACTTAAGAAAATAATTCAATAATGAACACATTAACACTGTCACAAACTGAAAGAAGGGTGAGCCAGGTCTTTATACAGAACATGCTCCTACCAGGAGGAATGTCATTTGAGGGGGAAAAATTATTTAAAAAAAGCAATTACAGAGGGGTTAACAAAAGTAAGAGTAGGGCAAGTGAGGAAACTACTTTTACAATGAGAATAACTGCTCAGATTGAATTGCTTCCCAGTGAATCTCATCCTTGGATAACTACAGTAAACCATCACACATGTCAATACAGCCATTCTTATGCTACATAAACCCAAACCTTTCGGGTGACCGTGATCTCGAGCGCCTTTTTTTGCGATCACCAGAGGAAGAGGATCTAGAGCGGCTTCGCTTCTTGCCTCTCTCCGGGGAAGATGAGGAGCGAGAGCTGGAGCAAGATCTTTTCCTTGGGGTGGAAGACCCCCTGTAGGACCTGGAGCTGGATCTTTATTGATTGAGAAATAAACCACATTTAATTCTGGGATCATGGAGGAGGCACAAAGACAGAACAAGCAGACAGTTTTCATCAGCATTCACTACTCTGTTTTCTCCAGGGGTGTGGAAAATAAACACAAGGGGCTTCCATACTTACTCTGCCAAGAACACTGCTACTGCCAGGGCAGCTTGCCTAAGAAACTCTGCTAAGTAGTGTTTCCTGATAAATGGACCACCAGTGGTTTGGAAAGCTCTCCCCAGCATTCACCAAAATGAGCCACTTTGGCAAAAAAGCACTGGGCGACTGCTGGGAAGCTGCCTCTGTAAGGACCTTCCTCAGCAGTTAAATTCCCACATCAGAATAACCTGGAAACCAGAGATCTAAAGCTGATTTACCATGGTGCACTTTATCCTGAAGGACATTTCACACTGCATGGTCAACAGTAACAAACTCAACTACATTTGTGACGAGACTAAAACCTTCTTCAACCAAAATACTGCAAAAAGCCTCTCAGAATGGAGTCAGAATATTTAAAAACGTCTCTTGGAACACAGTGCCCCTCTGGTGGGGCACAGGGACACCTTTCCTCCTCCCAAAAGCATGGATTCCATCCTGTGCTGACCCTCACGGGGTAATCCACAGCACGTCCCTGTCCTCAGGGGGTGCTGGCAGCATTTGTGAGTGTTCTTCCCAACCCAAGCTTCCTCATTTAGAATTCTGGGATTCTCTGCATGCATGGAGAAGGGACAGCCCTTCATTCCACCACAGAGGGAATGTTCTGACAATGGAATGCCTGTGCCAGGACACCTCAAATGTGCTTTTGCTCCTGTGCCCTGCCCAGCTCAGTGATGCTCTACACAAATCACTCTCAGCCTCTCCCACCATCTCCTGCCAACATTTCCCTATGCTCCCCCAGGTCTGTACAGGAATAGCTGCCCTGTCTCGTGGGAGACACAGAATTCTCACTGAACACAAAACCAGAAGGGCAGCGGCATTCCTAAGTTCCTCCAGCTCAAGCAGCCCAAGTGGAAACAGGAAAAGCACCCAAATGCCTGCAGCAGGGAACCATGCACTCAAATCCTTCTTCCTCCACTGCAGCTCGGTGGCGTCCGCTCGTCCGGCTTAGGCCAGACTTAACTCGTGCACCAAAACTCTGCTCCTCAGTGAACACAGCTGTGGTGGAACACCCGGGGCAGAGCCAGCAAGTCTGACTTCCAAGATAAAAAGCAGTTAATGTTTGTCCGAGCAGCACAGCCTCGGTGGCACCAGAGCAGCTGCAGCCTGTGCCCTGTGTCTGTGCAGGGACAGGCTGGTACCTCATTCACCTGGATTTGGACCCACGGGACCGCGACTGTTCCCTGGAGCTGGAGCGGGATCTCGATCTGGAGCTGGAAGAACTCCTGGAATGGGACCTGCAACAACACGGGAGATCTTTTCCAGTGCCTGACTGGCACGCAGCAGTCACTGCTCCTGAGAGCAGCAGGCAGGAGGCAGCAGCACCATCTGAGAGCTAAAACACCACTGCCCTCCTGCCCCAGCATCACCACAGACACTTCTACACAGCAACATTACAAAGTCAGCTCTAGCTTATGGTTCCTAAAACAAAGCACAACAATTAAACAGGATTGCAGTCACCTGCCAAAAAGAAATAACTTCCTATCTACTCATTATTTCATGAAATCAATGCTTTAATTTGTGCCTTAACTGGAAACCCATCAGCTTCCTTGAAAGGCAGAGCAGATGAGAGCATTAGGGTTGGTCTGCTAAATTTCCCCCAGCCAGTTCTCACAAGCACTTTGTAATCACCTTCAAACTTTCATAAAGATTTTCCCCTGCATTATAAATTAAGTGGTTCATTTGGGGCTAAAATACTGCCATATCCAACACAACTTGTAACTGGCCACAATTATTTCCCAATTTTTCACTGATGGATTTTCTCTAAAGCACAAACCACATGAAAAATTTACAATGGCAGCAGGTTTCAGCAACCACTGGAAACAAAAGCATTTTAAACAAATTCTAATAATATTTTCAGGTAAAATGTATTCTACTTGCTCTCAAACCTCTGAGTTTATGCTGTAACCACAACTTTCTCATTTTACTGGGCAGGACACAATAGTGTGAACATTTCCTAGCTAGGAAATACATTGAAACATTTTTAAAACCCACAAAAAAAAAAAAAAGCATCCAGAAATGCTAACTGATATTTCCAATTATGTGTAGCTAAAAGCAAAAAGTTCAAGAGAAAGTTGAAATCTCAGTTAGGACAAGTTACTTTTTACTTCACTGTTACTATTTGTGAATGTCAATATTTATCAGTGTTCATGACCAAAGTTATGGGCAGGTGAGGTTTTGAGCTCAAGCGCTGCACTCAAACTGCTCCGAGCAGTGGGAAGCAGGGGAGGCTGAGGAACAGAAGAGGCAGCAGGAGCAAGAGACAACTTGGGGAGAAGCCAAGCCAGAGGCTGGGGCCTGCCCCTGGTCACAAGGCCCTGCAGAATTTGGGCAGTGACAGCACAGAGGGGTACGATGAAGCTGGGAAGAACAGAAGAAACTTGAACTTTCACTGTTCATTCACAGATGTGGATTTAATAACTGACCCCGGGAGCTGGTTCTGAATTATCAGGATCCTCCTTGCATGAGCTGTAAGGCAGCTCAGAAGCTCCAATACTGACATCACCCAATTTCAAAGCACTGACTGAATTGCTCATTTATTACTGAATTTAAATAGCAATGAGAAAGCTTAAGCAGATCTGCCCAGCAGATCTTTGTGAGGTCCCCTATAAACCTTCAGTGTTATTAGAGAATTCCAGAGTGGTTTGGGTTGGGAGGGAGCTTAAAGCTCATCTCATTTCACTGTTCCATGGGCAGGGACACCTTCCACCAGATCAGGCTGTTCCAAGTCCTGTCCAGCCTGGCCTTGGACAGTTCCAGGGATGGGAAGGCTCTGACCACACTGGCACTGCATTTGGAGCTTTGTCACTTGCCATTAACCCGAGTTCAAGTTTCTTGTCTTTATTCCCAGGATATTCCCACTGTGTCCTTTCCCTGAATCTGCCCGGGCTGCACTGTCACTGCCTCTTCTGCCACCTCCTCCCACTGCAGCAGTGCCCCCCTCTGTCCAACAACAGACCCACGCACGGCCAACGAGCCTGAAAACCTGAAAATAAATTACATTATTCCATTTCTTGGAGGGATTTCACCAAACATCAACTGAAATCACTACAACAAGGCACAAGCCCCACGGAGCCTCCCCGCTGCGCTCAGGCAGAGCATCACCACCTCTGGAAATGGAGAGTTATTCACACATCACACAGTGTAAGGCAATCAATAGAGTAAAGAAGGAAGTCAGATACTGACATTTTGCCTGGCGTTACCCTGGACCTGTACCCGTTTACCTGGACCTAGACCTCGAGCTCGAGTGAGAGGATGAGCGCGAGGACGAGCGGGAGGAGCGGGACTTGGAGCGGCTGCGCCTCGGCGGCTTCTTCTTCTTGTTGGTGTCCTCCTCCTCGCTGGCATCCAGGTTGTACTTGGACAGGTCAGCATCATCTTCATCCTCATCCTGCCACGGGCACAGCACAGCAAACTCAGGCTCTGCTTTCAGCTTCCCTGCAGTTTTTACTGATTCCAGCCCTCACCTCCTGCTCTTTCCTGGCCTTTGAAATCCAAACGGAATTTAACCAGACCCCACAATTTTAATCGGTGAAGAGTGACTGAAAATTGGTTTTGAACCAAAGTAATAAAAACCCTGCAACACCCCCCTGCCTCCCCATTATTTAATGAAGTTAATGACCACACAGACACCTTTTCACCACTTACTTTAAATGAATCTCCACCCTCAGAATCTCTAAGCAAAGCCCAACTCTGCAGAGACAGATCTCATATGCAAAGTTTGGTGACTGCTGTGTAAAACACGACCACCTGCACTTGTCTCTGCAGGGCCGCTGCCCAAAGATGTGGAAAATCCAATAAGTGATACTCATATCTCAGAAAAGATGGGAAAAACCCTCAGAATATTTTATTTCATTTTATAAAAAATAAATCTGATGTGGTTTTAAAAGGTTAGGAAGAAAATTCAAGAGCACTGGCTATACATGGTAACCACACATCCAGGTTCCAAATAAAGATCTTGGAGTTCTGGGTTCTGATCTCTTGTCATTTCTGATTTCAGAAACTGCCCATTTTTGAGTGCAGGTGTTTAGAACAAAGCAGAGCTTGTGCACATCTCCTCCAGCAGCTCTGGGCACCATTATTGCCACAGCTCTGCTCTAAAGGCAGCTGAAAACACTGACCAGCCCCTCCCCTGCTCCTGGGCAGCACTGAAATCATGATTAAAAACTGCTTCAAGACAGCAAACCATCCTACCTCATCCAATTTATACTTGGAGAGATCTTCATCCTCATCCTCCTCATCCTCCCCCTCAGATTCCTTATCTTCCACTTCCTTCAGGATGGAGGCAGGACCCACCGGCTTCCCCCGGTACTTTTTCTTTTTGCGCCCAAACTGAGGAATTTCATGCCAGGATTAGAACAGGACTTAACCAAAAACAATCACCAACTGTATTTCTGATAACACTTCCATAAGAAAATAAACAATCATCAGTTTAAAGTAAGAGCTTCCCCCAAGGGAAAATGGAGCACTGTGGAACATCAATTAGCAACAAGGAACTTTCAAAGAGACGCTTGCCTTGGGGACAATGAGACTCCAGAGAGGTGAACGGGAATCTGAGCATTTTGTATTTCAATTTTATGGGATAGCCTTAAAAAACACAAGAGTGTCCCCAGAGCAGAGCAATCCCTGCCCCTCCTTACCTCATCGTACTCCCCGTCGGACTCCTCCCGCTCTATGTATTCCACGTTCTCCCGTTCATTGAAGCCTCCTCCGTAGCCTTGGAAAAGGGGCAAAACAACGCAAAGCCTTCAGCTGCTGCAGCACAGAAACCCCCACAGGGGCTCTGGAAACCCTCCTGGAATTACAAATCTGCCACCAGGACGGAACAGGATCTCCGGAGGAACATGAATTGTTCCCACGCACGTTTATTAAATGCAGTTTCTCACAAATCCAATTAAAATAATGGATTAGGACCACTACAAGTATTTATCAGCTTAATTAAGTACTAAGTACTTCAATAAGTTATTTAAGTAATAAATACATGGATATATTATTTGCAATTATAATAATTACATGAAATATGACTGTATTATTTAATATCCTTTACTATTTCCACAATACTCAATACTGAAATACTGTTTTTCCTTTCAAATAATGAGCTCTGTGCTCTTCTCCAGGCTCCTTTATTTCTGTGCCTTTGTGTTCCACGCTGTGCTCTAAGTTCCCTGCCTGACCCCAGGTGCAGAGGGGCGAGTGCAGAGCTGTAAGGAGATCCTGCCCCAGTTCCCTCAGGAGAGCTGAAAGCGAGCCCCAGCCCTCCTGAGCAGATAACAGCCTTATCTGCACGTGGCCAGCCCACAGCAGGCCTCTGCAGATTAATTAAACATTGCCTCCAAAGCCCTGACATCAAAATCCAGCTCGGGGGCAGCTCAGGCAGAATGCTCCCCACCAAAATCCAACTCGGGAGCCAGCACCTCCCACAGCACCAAAGCTCCTGCACCTTGTAGGAACCAGGAAAAGAAGGAATGCCCCCTCTGACCCCCAGAGCCTTCCTGGCAGCAGGGCCAGCAGCCAGGACCCCCAGCTCACCCGTCCTCTCCTCCAGCTTGGCGTACTTGGGGGTGTTGCACATGTTGCACTCCGAGCGCCGCGCCCAGTTCACGTTCCCGCAGCTGCAGGGAGACACAGGGGTGGGAATGAAACCTCAGCCTTCAGTGGGAATGAAACCTCAGCCTTCAGTGGGAATGAAACCTCAGCCTTCAGTGGAAATAAACACCCCTCAGTGGGAATGAAACACCTTTCAACGGGAATGAAACACCCTTCAACAGGAATGAAACACCCTCCAACGGGAATGAAACACCCTCCAATGGGAATGAAACACTCTTCAGTGGGAATGAAACATCCTTCAATTGGAATAAAAGATCCTTCAGATGGGCATGAAACACCCTTCAATGGGAATAAAACCTTAGCCTTCAATGGGAAAGAAACATCCTTCGCATGGGAACGAAACCTTATCCTTCAAATGGGAATAAAACCTTATCCTTCACATGGGAACAAAACATCCTTCAGTGGGAATGAAACACCCTTCAGTAGGAATGAAACTTCCTTCAATGGCAATGAAACATCATTCAAATGGGATAAAACATCCTTCAGATGGGAATAAAACTTTATCCTTCAATGGCAATGAAACATCCTTCACATGGGAATGAAACCTTATCCTTCAAATGGGAATGAAACCTTATCCTTCAGATGGGAATAAAACATCCATCAATGGGAATGAAACCTTATCCTTCAGATGGGAATAACACATCCTTCCCATGGGAATAAAACATCCTTCAGATTGAGACTAAAACTTTATCCTCCAGATGGGAACGGAACCTTATCCTCCAGATGAGAACAGAAGTTTATCCTTCACATGGGGATAAAACATCCTCCAGATTGGGAATAAAACCTTATCCTTCAGATGGAATAAACCTTCCCCTTCAGCCTGGGAACACAAGGGTGGGACACAGCACTCGGGAAGGTGACAGCCCTGCACAGTCTGGGGAAGATATCAGCTCCAGGAGCAGGGACAGGAGCACAGGAGGGCTCTTTCCCAGCTCCCCCAGCCTCTCCTGGGGCTCCAGCCCCTTCCCAGCCCCATTCCCTGCCCTGCCAGGGGCTTGCTGCAACTGCCACATCCAAGAATCTCAGAGTCAAGGCTGGTCTGGGTGTGAAGGGACCCTAAATCCCACCCAGTGCCACCCCTGCCCTGGCAGGGACACCTCCCACTGCCCCAGGAGCTCCAGCCCCAGTGTCCAGCCTGGCCCTGGGCACTGCCAGGGATCCAGGGGTGCCACAGCTGCTCTGGGAATTTATTCCAGGGCCCGGAGGGAGGGATCGCTGCCGTCGCAGCCCGCAGGGAATTCCAGGGAGGAGCAGCCGCGTGTCCCAGCCTACGTTTTGCACTGCCAGTCGTTGGCGCTGAACAGCCCCCGGCTCTTCTCCGCCAGCGTCTTCCCGATCTCCGTGCCCCCAGCCTTCATCATCTTGGCCTCCGTCGTCTTCTCTGCGGGGACAGACAGACAGAGAGCGCCTGGAACAGCGGCCGCGGGACGCGCCAGGGACACTTCGGGGTGTTTGGAACAGCCCCACAGCGATTCCCGAACAGCCCGGGGCTGCACAGCGATTTCAGGGTGCATAAACAACCCCACAGGAGCTCCCGAACAGCCCGGGGCTGCACAGCGATTTCAGGGTGTATAAACAACCCCACAGGAGCTCCCGAACAGCCCGGGGCTGCACAGCGATTTCAGGGTGTATAAACAACCCCACAGAGATTCCCTAACAGCCAGGGCTGCACAGTGATTTCGGGGTGTATAAACAACCCCACTGTCCTAGTTTAGGGCAAATTTGGGGAAAACTCTCTGAAAGGAGCCCTTAGGAAACAAACATCTACGGCCCCTCCCCACCTACGTGGTTTAGGGAAAAATTTCCTCTGAGAGAGAAGTGGAAAAGATGATAACAAGGTAAAATAAACCTTTACTTTCAGAGTCAGTTCTGAAAGCACAGAACATAATATCAAACGTAAACAGAACACACGATTGGAGATATAAACACCATAACGTCACCCTAGGACACCCACAAAGATTCCCGAGCAGCCGGGGCTGCACAGTGATTTCACACAGGGATTCCTGAACACCCTGGGGCTGCACAGTGATTTTGGGGTGTTTTAAACAACCCCTCAGCGATTCCCCAGCAGCCCAGGGCTGCACAGTGATTTCACACAGGGATTCCCGAACACCCTGGGGCTGCAGAGCGGTTCCAGCGCCGCTCCAGGGGCAGAGCCACGTACAGGGCGCGTGTGGGGGATCTCACCTCTGCCGCATCTGTTGCAGCTCGTCCTCCTGGCGAAGTTCACGTTGCCGCACCTGGGCACGGAGCAGAGCACAGGGCCGCGCGTGAGGGAGGCGGGACCCGCGGGGCCCCGCGCGGGTTCCCCCGCATTTACCCCGACCCGCGCCAACAGCCGCCTCCCCGCGGAGCCCCCCGCGCCCCCCGCCGCCCTCACTTCTTGTCGGGGCAGATCCAGTCGCCGTCGCTGACGCGGAAGTTCTTGGCCGCCATCTCGGGCCGGGCCGGGCCGCGCCGCCACGCGCAGGACCCGGGGCCTGCGCCGCGCGGGCTGCCCCGCGCCGCGCCTGAGCGCCGCGCCGCACCGCCGCCGCACCGCCGCGCTCAGGCAGCGCCGCGGACGCCTCAGCCCGGGGAGGGAGAGCGGAGGGAGCGCCCCCTGGCGGAGCGGAGGGGCGGCGTGAGGGGAGCGCGGGGCGGGAAAGGGAAAAGGGGAAAAAGGGAAAAAAGGAACAAAAGGGAAAGAGAAAAAGAGGAAAAAGGGAACAAAAGGGGAAAGGGAAAAGGGGAAAATAGGGAAAAAAGGGAACAAAAGGGAAAGAGGAAAAGGGGAAAAAAGGGAAAAAGGGAAAAGGGAGAAAAGGGAAAAGGGAGAAAAGGGAAAAGGGAGAAAAAGGAATAAAAGGGAAAGGGAAAAGGGAAAAAAGGGAAAGGGAAAAGGGAAAAAAGGGAAGGGAATAAAAGGGAAAGGGAAAAGGGAAAAGAAGGGAAAAAAGAAAAAGGAAAAAAAAAAGGAAACAGGGAAAGGGAACAGGAATGGGAAAAATGGAAAAGGGAAAGGCAAAAGGTAAAAGATAAAAAGGGGAAAGGGGAAAAAAGGCAAATGGGAACAGGAAAAGGGAAATGAGAATGGAAAAAGGGAAAAATGGAAAGGGGAAAAGGGAGAAAAGGGAATAAAAGGAAAAGGGAAAAAAAGGGAAGGAAAAAAGGGAAAGGGGAAAAGGAAAAGAAGGGAAAAAAGAAAAAGGGAAAAGGGGGAAAAAAGGAATCAGGGAAAGGGAACAGGAATGGGAAAAAGGGGAAAAAGGGGAAAGATAAAAAGGGGAAAGGGGAAAAAAGGCAAATGGGAATGGGAAAAGGGAAATGAGAATGGAAAAAGGGAAAAGGGAAAATGGGAAGGGGGAAAGGGAAAACGGGGGAAGTGAAAAATGCCAGTCACTTGTTTTAAAATGTTTAAAAGTTTAATAGCATAAAAACAGTAATAAAAATTAGAGCAATAAGAATTTGGCCAATCAGAGTTAGGATCATAAAGGACAATAAAACAAAGAATGACGGATGTCTGTTGTTCTCGGACACCAAGTCACGAAAACCATGCCTTGTGAACAAAGGAGTAACGTTAAAAGCAATGGCCTGTTTGTATATTCATACGTTCATACATGATGCATAAATTCCTTGCAAATTAAGAATTTTTCTGGTTTTTGTCAACTCCTTGTCCTTAATCCTGTTGGTTCCATAAAGACGGAGAGAAGGTGGAAGAATGTTTGTCTTTTCTGATAAGGAGCTGTAACTCTTCAGGTTTCATGTAGCTTTATCTCTGTGTGAAGAATTTCTTAATTATCTTATCCCTTTCTTGAGCTAGTAAAAAATATCTTACATTGCAGAGTTTCTATTTTAACATTATGTTGTAACCCAAAACTGTATTTAACACACAACTTTAAAAGGATTAATACAGTATTACAAAATAACCCTCAATAATACATATAGTATTCAATTTAATATTTGCAAAGAGCCAATGACAAAATACGCATTTTTCACACTGCTTTTTTTTTTTTTTTTTTTGGGCTGGAAAAGGGAAATCTGCCAAGATCTGCAGTGCTTAGGTGGCCCAGCATTCCCAAACCACGTCCATGCTACGTGTTTGTCCACAGCAAACGTTCCCTTCCTGGCAGTTTCTGTTCTCTCTCTCCTTCTTGTAGCCACATCCCGTGGCAAAATCATCTGGGATTGCTTCTGGAGCAAAATCATCTGGGATTGCTACTGGATAAAATCATCTGGGATTGCTTCTGGAGCAAAATCATCTGGGATTGCTTCTGGAGCAAAACCATCTGGGATTTCTGGAGCAAAACCATCTGGGGTCTGCTACTGGATAAAATAATCTGGGATCTGCTACTGGATAAAAACATCTGGGATTGCTTCTGGAGCAAAACCATCTGGGGTCTGCTACTGGATAAAATCATCTGGGATCTGCTACTGGATAAAATCATCTGGGGTCTGCAACTGGATAAAATCATCTGGGATTGCTCCTGGATAAAATCATCTGGGATTTGCTACTGGATAAAATCATCTGGGATTGCTACTGGATAAAATCATCTGGGATTGCTTCTGGATAAAATCATCTGGGATTGCTTCTGGATAAAATCATCTGGGATTGCTTCTGGATAAAATCATCTGGGATTGCTTCTGGAAAAAATCATCTGGGGTCTGCAACTGGATAAAATCATCTGGGGTCTGCTTCTGGATAAAATCATCTGGGATTGCTTCTGGAGCAAAATCATCTGGGATCTGCAACTGGATAAAATAATCTAGGATTGCTTCTGGATAAAATCATCTGGGATTGCTACTGGATAAAACCATCTGGGATTGCTTCTGGAAGAAAATAATCTGGGATTGCTCCTGGAGCAAAACCATCTGGGATTGCTTCTGGAGCAAAATAATCTGGGATCTGCTACTGGATAAAATCATCTGGGATCTGCAACTGGATAAAATCATCTGGGATTTCTTCTGGAGCAAAATCATCTGGGATCTGCTCCTGGAGCAAAATCATCTGGGATCTGCCTCTGGAGGCTCCTGGAAGGATTTCCCGCTGCCGTGTCCTGCTGCGGTCGTGCAGCAGGTGGCACTTGAGGAACGCGTGTTTTCCATGGAAAACCACCCTCTTTTCCATGGGATGTTTTAAATATCAGCGTAAAAATAAGAAACAGCACGGTGACAGCATCAGTGTCACCGTGTGGGACTGAGCATGGATTGACCTCGGCTGCTTCTGGCACAGGACACGGATCTGTGAGCAGCAAAACTATTAATTTTATTCTGCAAAACTATTGGTTTTATTCTACAAAATGATTAATTTTGCTCATGCAATGCAGCTGAAAATCCTAAGTAATTAACAAAAAAGACTCTATAGAAGAGGAGCTGCCTCACAGTTGGCAAAAACCATCTCAGTTCAAGCCAACTAGGCAAACTGTCATTTTTACCACACCTGTGCAGGCCATTGATCCATTTTAATCACCTCTTCTTATTTAAAGCTCTTTCCCATGAAAGAGACGTGACAAAACTCCACCTCCAGCCAGTGGGATATTCCCTGTGTTCCCTGCCTCCTCCTGACCAGCAGGCACCACCCAGCAGCTCCCCAGGCTTCCAGGGAGGGAACAACCTGGAGCTGATCCATTCCCGGATGCCTTTAGGGAAAAATCTTTCATAAAAGTGGGAATATCCACCAGAGAGTGTCGTGCCAGGGAGAGCAAACCAGCAGGGCCGGGGAGTAAATGAATGAGTGATGGAAGGGATTCTTCTGCTGCTTTGCCCTTCTCTGTATCGAAAAATGTTGTCTGAGCAGGAATGTCGGAAGGAAATCTGTGTGCTAAACTCTGCTCATCTAATATTTAGGAAACTGAATGGAATTCCAGAGCAGTTTGGGTTGGGAAGGACATTAAATCCCACCCAGTGCCACCCCTGCCATGGCAGGGACACCTCCCACTGTCCCAGGAGCTCCAAGCCCCAATGTCCAACCTGGCCTGGGACACCCCAGGGATCCAGGGGCAGCCCCAGCTCTGATTAAAAGCTCAAAAGCCAACTGAGAACAGAAAAATACTTTTAATTTATGACTAAAGCAAAGCCCAGGTGGGCAAGGGGGGACCTGGAGCTCCCAGACACAATCCAGCACCACTCCTGTGGCTGTCCAGGACATTCCCTTTGCTGAATGAGCAGCTCTCGGATTTCTGTTGTGCTGCTCCTCTTTTCCCGTGTTCCTCCCACAGAGCTCCATTTAAATAATCTTCCCCCATATCCCAACAGCTTGTGAACACTTTTATTGGATTCCTGTTTCTATCAGAGCACATTTGGCCTTCAGACGAGGCTGAGGAATTGATAATAACCCGGTAAATGAGAAATACATCAGCCATCATTTTACCGTAATGAAAGCGAGCAGTTGAGAATGAATCAATGTGGAGAAAACTGTTTAATTGGCCCAGCTCTAGACAGCCAATTCCTACCAAGGAGCCCTGGAAATCAGTTTCCCGAAGAAAAACGGAGTGTACAAAGGCCAGGAGGATCCAAGGCAGGTAATTAAAGGAAGGCTGTGCCTGCAGCCCTGCCCAGCCCTTCCCGGGTGCTGCCTTCACTCTGCAGCTCGGGGCTCCCGGGTTTTTAAGCATCACTTTAAAGCACTGAATACATTGTTGGTGCCTTCCAAGGCACAATAATAACAATCATTTCAGCAGTGGGAGTTAAAGCAGTCAGTGCTTCCAGCAGGGAGAGCTGCCTGCTCCGAGCTGCTGGAATTGCAGCGGGCAGGGCTCGGATGCTCCTGGGGTAAGGGGCTGTGGGGGCTGTGCCACGAACCCCCAGACACCCCCAGGGGTGGCATCCACGTGGGTTGTAGGATGAACACTGTGAAAAGCGCCAGTCGCTTGTTTTAAAATGTTTAAAAGTTTAATAGCATAAAAACAGTAATAAAAATTAGAGCAGTAAGAATTTGGACAATCAGAGTTAGGACCATAAAGGACAATAAAACAAAGAATTGTGGATGTCTGGATGCTCTCTAAGCCACGAAAAGCATGCCTTAAAACAAAGAATTAACCCTTAAAAGCAGTAGTCTGTTCCATATTCATATATCTCATACATGATGCATAAATTCTGTCGAAACAAAGAACTCTGATCAGTGTCAACGTCTTCTTCTTAATCCTGTGGCATCTTCAGGGCCGAGTGAGGCAGGAAGAAGTTGGTTTCTTCTGGTAAGGGAGCTATAAATTCTTTTTCTCTGGAAGACTTAGGTGTCCTGTGGCTGCTATCTCGATGCAAGTACCTCATTCCTTTCTTGCCACGTAGACAGTTTCTACAAAAGCTCCACTGTAACTACAAAACTACATTTACCATGCTATTAAAATGTTAATACAGCACTTCAAATCAATATAACATAATACAAATAGTAAATATCTGTGTAGAGCCAGAAAATAAGCACTTTTACACCGTGGGCAGTTGGTCAGCTATGGTTTGTTCCAGTGCCATGGTTGGCTCTGGAGCTGTTCAAGCAAGTGTGAGGTTTAGATTTAGAGCAGAGACTGGGCAGGAATTGTTCCCTGGGAGAGT